ATTTCCATACATAAAAACATTTCCATACATAAAAACATTTCCATACACAAAAACATACAGCTGTCAAGTCAACTAAAAGGGTCATAAACTTGTAACTGGTAAGGCCCCTAGGCATCATTTAATCGCAACCTCAATTTTTAAGATAAAGAAACCCATGATTTAAAAAAAGGAAGATATTTGTCCCAAATCACAAAGCTAGAAAGTAGCAAAGCTGGGATTTTAATTCAGATCTCCCAACTTTAAATCCACAGTTCTTTCTACTAGATAAGGGGAGGGCAAAATTTGGTCCTTCTGTTTCTGTAGAGCCTGTGAGCTAAGAATGGTGTCTACATATATATGTAGATCTCACGACTCTTTGTCCACTCCTGCACTAGACTATATTATTGTCTATTTAACATAAAAGTATTTTTAGCTTGCAAGGTTTGATATTTTGATCCAGATAAGTGGTACAGTGGATAAAGTACTAGATTTGGAGTCAGGGAGACTCAATTTTCACATCCTAAGGCACTTACTGACTGTGTTGTCCTAGGTAAGTTACAACCTCTCGGGCTCAGTTTCCTCATCTGTAAAATGGGGATAATAGCATCTACCTTACAGGTTTATTGTGAGGATTGAACTAGGTGTTTGTATAGTGCTTTGTAAACTTTGTAAGCCTTAAAGCCCTATGTAAATGCTAGCTAGGTTGTTGTTTTTTGTTTTGTTTTTTTTAATTAATTCCAATGTAAATATGTGGGGAGTATTCTGGAAACACATACCTTGCTCCTTGCTCCTGACTGTAGAGGACATATTCTGACTGATGAATCTGGGTTTAGCACCACTTTTAACCCAGAAATCATCTCCTGCCACCATCAAGTCCTCCTTTTGTAGTCTACCTAATTAGGATGGTAGAAATTTCAATATGGTACTAGAAAAAAGAAAGGCGCACATGTTTAAATGTCCCAAGATAGATTTTAACAGCCAGTTGACCTGTGCAAACACGTACTTTCTTTTCCTAGTTCCCAAGTATTTGGGGAAGTTCTTGAAAGAAGGGGGTGAGGTACAAAGAAAAGAGGTTATTCCTCTACTACCCTGTTTGCTGAGGGGGTGCTACAGTGATGAAATTGCTTTGACATTTAAGCCTCAATAGCTAACTGTATGGTCAATTTTTTAATAAAGGAAAACTATTGTAGTCTACATTTCCCCTAAAATTCCAGTATAACAGAATAACTTCTCTTGTAGCCAGAAGAGAACCTGAGGGGTCTTGATGCAGCCCCCTGCCTCCAGGCTGGTGAATATTTATTACCAGTTCTGTGATATTCTGACTTTACATTGAAATAAGAAATACCCAAAGAGGCTAATTGCCTTTCCTAATTCCAATTCTTTAGTGACTAGATAAACATAGACTCTGTTTCTTGCATAGTGTAGGGAATATTCCTTCCCCTTTACTGGGTATATCTGCTGCAGTTAGAATTGGGTTTTTTCTTTTGGGAAGGATTTTACAAGAAGACCCTGTGCTATTAAAATGAAAGCAACTTGATCCCAGGTACAGTACTGGAGTCAGGTGACCTAGATTCTCCACCCAGTTCTGCTGTTCTCTTTGTTTTGGTGAGATCACAAAACTCCTGGGCTCAGCACTGCCTTCTGATCATAGGTTTTTATAGCTGTACCTTAGAGGCTAATGAGTCTAACAGACTTTAACAGATCCTTTAACAGACAAGCAATCTGAAATATAGAGAAGTTAAGTGAATTGCCCACAGTCACAGATTGTAAGTAGGCTGAGGCGGGATTTGAAGCCAGGTATTTCTGACTCCAAGTCCAATGCCCTATTCACTATACCTTCCCCCCCCCCCCCATCTAACTGGGCTCTTGTTGCTTATAGCTTTTTAATTTCTTTTGGGGTCCACTGTATACTCCTTTCAGGGACATCCTTCTGCTGTTCTACTGCTTTGTTTTCTCCTGTCTACAGTTTTCTGCTCTCTCTTTTTTCAGTGGGAAAGTCAGACTATCACAGAACTGCCCACTTGAGGAAATTACTTTCATGCTTCTAAAAAAAAATAGCTTCAATTTGATGAATTTTCTCATCTACTTCAAAATTTATCATATCTACTTAATTTATTCCAAATGAGATATTATTTTGATCCTCCCTATGGTTTCCATTTCCTTACCACCCACTCTCTCTTCTTTCAATCTTACTTCAGTCTCCTTTTTGGTGCTCACTAGAAAATATAGTGTCAATTCAAAAGTTTTACCAGTTCCCATTTTTTACTATAACTTTACAGCACTGTATAATTGTGACTACCCCTTCTTTCTTTAAAGATACTTTTCTTCCTTGACTTGTCCTTTCCTGACATTCCACAAAATCTTTAGATTACCAATTCTTGTGTCTCTATTGCTTCCCCCTCCCCCCAATCACATTCTACCTTGTAGATATCCTAGTGGATAGAGAACTGGGCCTGGGGTCAGGAAGACAAGTTCAAATGTGGCACTTATGGTCTACAAGGGGAGAGTAGGTACATATGCTGACAGGAAAGACAGTGAATGAGCATTTGTTTAGCACCTACTATGTGCCAGGCACTGTTCAAAGTGTTTGAGATACCATCTGATCCTCAAACAACTCTGAGTGATAGGCGCTATTATTATTATTCTCATTTTACAGTTGAGGAAACTGAGGTAAGCAGAAGGTGACCTCTCTACAGTCACACAGTCAGCATTTGAGGACTGAGGTCATATTTGAACTCAAGTCTTCCTGACTCCAGGCCCAGTGATCTAACCACTGAGAGATTTACAAAGTAGAATGTGATGGGGGCGGGGGAGTAGTACACATGTTACTCTAGAAAAATGTTTAAGGGATTTTTTTTAACTGGGAAGGGGAAAAAAATGGAAAGCTTTGTGGAAGAAGTGGTACTTGGACTAAAGTTTGAAATAAGAGGATTTTAAGAAGCCATGAAAAAGCAGACATACATTCTAGGCATAGAAGTTGGCCTGTGGGAATGTATGGAGCTAGAATAAAACAAATAACAATAACAATAATACTCAGCCTTTATAGAACACCTTAAAGTTTGTAAAATGCTTTACCTATGTACTCATTTAGTCCTCATAACAACCCTTTGAGGTGAGTACTATTATTATCTCCATTTTACAGATGGGGAAACTGAGCTTGAGGTAGGTTAAGTGACTTGCCCAGGGTTAGCTGGTAAAGTGTCTGAGGCAGGATTTGAACTCAGGTCTTCCTGACTCCAAGTCCAGGACTCTATCCTCTGCAGCAGATAGCTGTCTCTAGACAGAGAGTCCAGATCAGGATTGAAGGCAGCTAGAGTTTAGTTTGGTTGGAAGTGAAGAGAACAATGAGAAAGTAAGGCTAAAAAGGTACTATTTCTATCATTGATATTACCATTACTCTCTACCACCTGGGTTCAATCCTTCATTTATCTTTATATAAAAGAAGATAGTTACAAGTCCTATCTATTATTCTATTAAACATTTCTAATGCCTCCCTTCCTCTTCTCACTAACATTCCATCATGGCTCATCTAGATGACTTCAACAGCATTTGGGGGTGGAGGGGGAGGGGGAAGGTAAGGGAGAAAGACTGCATTCATCATTCTTTGGTATAGGGAATTCCCAAAGAGGAAAATCCCTTAACTAGTGCAAATCTCAAACTCATCTGCATCACCTTAGCTCTAAGGTTAGAGAGAGATGATTTCCTTAATTGGAAAGTTGAGAGCCTCAACAGCTTCTTAATTGGTCTTTCTGCCATCTTGCCTCTTCTCCAGGATACCAACACATTGATTTTCCTAAAACACATGAGGTATGGTATAACTTAATTCCCATGGCTCTAGTCCACTGCCACTGGGCTCCAGGACTCAGCTTGGCTACTCTCTGTGTGACCTTAAACAATTGCCTTTCCTTATTTTATAAAAGTGGAAATATCACAGGTACCACCTGTCTCCTATGGTTGAAAAAAATTAAATGATTGTGTGCAAAAGACAAACACTGAGGCATTATTGACATAGGCTCAATTCTTGCCTTTGACACACACTGACTGTGTGACCTGGAGCTCTCCATGTCTCAGACAACTCCAAGACCAAGTCAGAGAAAAGGTGCCAATCACAAAGTGTGTGTTGGGAGTGGGGAGAGAACAAGGAAGAAAACACTGAATTTAAAGCTGCCCTTCCCGTAGTTCTGTAATTTTCACTCTAGTGGATCACTTGCCTATAGGATAAAAGCTTAACTTCCTTTCAACTTTCAAAAGTTGAAAAAGTTTAAAAGCCTCAATTTGACTGGACTCTACTCATCCAACTGAAGACTGTCCCCACCACACTCTATACCGTTCTCCCTCCACATCCAAATGCTATGCTCAGGCTTGAATACGTCTACTCATTATATTCCCTTCTTCTTGGTCCGACAAATCTTCCAAGTCACCTTACTCTTTCTCAACTTAACTCATCTTTCAATGCTCATCTACCTCAATCTACCTTCTTTTACCACTCCAAACCATGTTAATCTCCCCTGCATGTGGTGAATTTGCAACCCGATTCTACTGCCCAACTGAATTGGGGACCCCTAAAAGATAGAGACACTTATCCTCTATCCCTACCACACACTTTCTGAGATGGTATGACAGAAAAAGTCAGTCAAATACACATAAGAAGCTTGCTGGCTGCATACCTAGATTATAGGCAGAGCCATAACTAGTCCAAGGCCACTAGCGCCTTATCCCAGGATGAGGCAATTTAGAGGGTACCACAATTAAACATATGTACTCCTATTCCAGGAGATAAGGGGAAGAATTCAGATGCTAGCTAAGAAAAGAGGAAGAGGAGAAAGGACACTTATAATCCTTATAGATGTAAAGGCAGCAGATCATAGTGCTCCTTCCTTTTTGTTTGGTTGTTTTGTTTTGTTTTGTTTTTGCTTATATGTACTTCCCCAAATTATTCACCTTCTCTCTTATCCCATTCCCAGACCTTTTTCCTCCCTTCATTTCCAAGCAGACTGCCTCTTTTCTGTCTTCCTTTCATAAACAGCAATAATTTCTCTATTCAGGTGTGAGAGTAGACATGGAAGGAGAATGATAATCCCTGATGCCACTTTTCTTCCCAGAGACTATGTGGGAAGGAATGCAAGGCTTCTCTAATGAAACATAGAATCATAGAATTAGAGTTAGAAGGGACCTTGGAAAGGCCACCTAATCTAGCCCCCTCATTTTTAGAGACGAAAAAATGGAGGTCCAGAAACAGTAAATGATATGTACAAATAATAGAAATACATATATGGAAAAGAGGTGAGATTTGAACCCAAGTTCCTTGAATCTGGACTTTGCATTCTTTCTACTGCACCTGCTAGACCCCAGATCTCATGTTTTTTTATTAGGTCTCTTTCAACTGACAATCTATTCCCTATATTTCTATAGTATCTCATTTTCCTCTCAAATGAATGTGAGTACTTCACAAAAGTTTTTTGAGGGCCCTAACTAGGACCCCTTGTTACATGCAGAGGTTGTTCCGAGTGCTAAAACTGCTAGCTATGGTTCTGTCCAAAAGCCTGTTGAAAGGCTCAAAAACAAAAAAGAAAAAAAGAAAAAAAAACAGAAAAAACCTTTAAATGCTTTTTTTTAAGTGTAAAATGTTATTGTATTTTCTCTTTCCCTATAGCACCACCATCATTCAAAAGTTGTTCTAGGCATTCCCAAAGTCAAACACTCTGAAAAAGATTCTACTCAGCTCACCTTTTCTCTTCACCACCATTCGTTTTTTTAGCAGCTCACCACAAGCAGCTTCATAGTAGTCTCTGTCCTTAAGCTTATGAAACAAGGGAACACTTTCATAGGCACCACTTTTTGTTTTGCTTTTGTTTTTTACAGGCCAAACAATTAGCTGGGGAGATGTAATTGTATGAGGTGGCTTCCAGATTACCCGATGACCAATCTCTTGGTAAAAGCCCTCATTTGAAGGGCTCACATCTCCCCGTGGGTCAACTGCTTCAAAAATATATTCAACCTCATCTAAATCTTTGTCATAATCAATATCATCTTCACCTTCTACTCCCCACAAATCTTCAGACTCGGCTTCAGAGAGACACTCTTTTTTCTTGAACAAGCAGGTTTTCTGGGGGGGATACTTAGGCAGGGCTTCCTGTTCCCTGCCTCTTTTGATAGGTTCTTTAAGCTTCCTACTTGAGTGAATTTTAGTATCTCGGACAACTAAACCACCAACCTCACCTACCATCATCACTCCCTCCTCCTCCTCATTATAGTGATGGTCCTGGATCTCAGCCTCTTGTTCAGTGCCCTCTGTGGTTTTGACATACGTATTCTTCTCAAGTACAATGTCAGTCATAGGCACATTGTCCAGGGAAGACTCTTCACTTCTAGAGGATGGCTCCACAGAGCTAACACTTGGGCTCTTTCTCTGAGGCAAGGGATGGATGCTCGCATCAACCTTCTCAAATCGAGCCAGCCAGGTGGGAGGGGGAATGAACTCATCCAATTCGTTGCTCCAAAACCCATCTCTTAACTTGGTCTGCCCATTGTGTCTATTTGGGCTGGGGGGCTCTTGACTCAGGTTATTGATGGCCTCCATGCTAGAACAAACTGACTCTGTTTGCTGGTTCAATTCTTGAGTAGACCTATTTGGTATCAACACTGACAGGCTTGAACTTGCCATTGAGTGGGCCTTTTTACCCAATCTGTTCAGCTCATCAGGTTGCCATTGGTTTCTGGTATCTAGGGGGTCTGAACATTTCTGAGTGGTTACACTTTCTTTATCTTTATCTAAACTTCCTTCCAGGCTAGGTCCTGGCATCTGGACCTCTTTATCTTGTACAGCTTCAAGATACTGTTTGGTCAGCATAGCACTAGCTTTGTCTTCTTCTGAACATTCTATGGTTGGCATTTCCTCTCCCTTATGAGGGGTATATAGAACTCCCATCCTCTCACAGGAGCTCACTGAAAACAAATCACACTGTACTATGTTCTCCGGTGCCATTTTGCCATGTGTCAAATCATAAATTGGGATGGTTTCTTTAAAGGATTTCCAAAGCTGTATTGCAGGAGAACCATCTCCATATTCTATTCTTACCTCTTCCTTTTCAAAGGCATATTTCCCTGGAGGAATGTTTCTGTACACTGTAGGTGCAGAAGAGTTCTTACTATGAACCTGTCTCTCTTGTACAGGGGAAGACAAACTGGTAACTTTTTTTCCAGAGGCAATACTAGTCATTCTACCTGTAATGCCACTCATATTGCAGCCATTAGCATCTAATGTTAAGACTTGTTGCTTTTTCAACTTGCTTTCAGGCTGTTGTGGATCAGTCTGGGTCTCTTTGGTTTCCATTTTTTTCCCAGAGCTGCTATAATGACAGAAACGTGCAACAGGCTGGAACATAGGAAATGAAGGCTGAGGATGAAAATACGGCCTTCTGTTCACTCTGGTGGGCACAGGAGCCTGTGGCAAGAGAAATCCAGGGTACTCATGTAGAGCAACTGAATAATATGGAATGTATGGGTTTCCATTTCTGAACCCTAGGGAAGAAACAAAAGACAAAAACATTTGTAGGTGAATTTCTACAGTGAGTTTAGTCTTTGTTTGTTATTCAATTTATTGATAAGAGGTCATTCTATGCTAATCACAAAACAGCTGAGCAATTTATATCTTGACTGCTGAAAGCTTTTTTTTCCCCTCAGTTTTCAACATTCACTTTTATAAGATTTTGAGTTCTAAAATTTCCCCCTCCCTCCCCAAGATGGCATGCAGTCTGACATAGGTTATATATGTACACTCATATTAAACGTATTTCTACTTTAGTCATATTGTGAAAGAAGAATCAGAACAAAAGTGAGAAACCATCAGAAAGGAAAAAAAAAGAGAAAATAATATGCTTCAATCTGCATTCATACTCCATGGTTCTTTCTCTGGATGTGGACAGCATTTTCCATCACGAGTCTTTTGGAGTTGTCTTAGATCACTGTATTGCTGAGAAGAGCCAAGTCTATCAGTTAGTCATCGAACAATGCTGTTGTTACTGTGTACAATGTTGTGAGTTCTTAGTCTTAACCTAAATTAAGTCTGGGCTATGATAGTCATGATTCTCCCTTACACTTGGTAAGATTTATGGGCCTGGTTAATTAAAGAAAAAGATGTGCCCTATCAGGGCTTCTGATTTTTATCATCATAAATCTACTTATTGATTAGGAACTTGTGATCTACATTGCCAAGTTGTTTTTCAGTTGTGTCTGACTCTGTTACTCCATTTGGAGTTTTCTTGGCAAAGATACTAGAGTGGTTGGCCATTTCCTCCTCCAGCACATGTTACAGGGGAGGAAACTGAGGCAAAGAGGGTTAGGTGACTTGCCCAGGGTCACACAGCTAGTAAGTGTATGAGACCAGATTTGAACTCAGGAAGATGAGTCTTAGCGACACCAGGCCTGGTTCTCTATCCAGTGTGCCACTTAAGTGCCCATATGTGGTCTATACATAATACTTATTAGATGTTTGTTCACAAGCAATTGAAGTACTGTAATCAGTGTTAACTTGGTAGGAGAAAAGGAGGGTGAATATCCTTCAGAGATAGGAATTGGCTTTAGACCTGGATGATCCAAGTTCCGACACCCCTGCCCCCCCCATGGTGCAATAGGGTGTCAAATGAAGCTGTAATGACAAATTGACCATATCAACTGATGGCTGTCACTTATACAATAACAGTCAGGAGACAGGGCCACAACTAAGAATTCTTAGGTTTGAATCAAATTTGGTTAGTGCATCTGTAAGAGACTAGAGGGGATGTAGGAATGTTGCATTGCAGATTAGAAGAAAGTTCTGAGTTTATTTTCTAATAGTCTTCAGAAAAGGAGACCTCAATAGAACTGAAATGATATTAAGTATTATCATGCTACAAGGCAAATTGTGTAGATAGTTTTCTGGAAAGGAAATTCTGGCTGAAAAATGTATAGACTAGGTTCATGACCATTATTCATAAAATTGAACTCATTTTGTTAAAGAGGAATATAATTGCCACTCCAGTGACTAATATTGTATCATAATTATCATGGAAAACACCTTTTTTTTTTTAACTGAAATTTTCTTAAACAAAGGCTATTCAGGGACTTATAGGATATGAATAGGTATTTTTAAAAGGTAAGGAAAAAGTGTACTTCTTGATGGCTCTAAAATTCTATAAGTGAGTCAAATTAAATGTTTAGACCTGGAAGGGACCTTCAAGCCATCTGATCCTAACCTCCCATCCAGGAATCCTCTCTCCAACAAGTGCTTGTTTTAGCTTGTACTTGAATGCTTTCAGGGATCAGGAAGTTACCACCTCTGAGGGATTCTGTACTCCATTTTTTTTTACCCATATTGAATCAAAAGTTGCTTCCCTAAATTGGCTTGGTTTCTACTTTCTGAAAAGATGCAGAAAAATTAGATTATTTTTCATATCATGATAATATTTCAAATATTTGAAGGTTATCCTCTGTCCCTCAATCTTCCCTTTTCTGGGGTAAAGATCCCCCAATTCTTTCAACAGCCTTAGATATTTCTTCATCCATTCTGGTCACCTAGTTTATCAGTCTCTCCAATAATACACTAATAAGGACTAAACATATTTTGCATGTGCTTTGTCCAGCATAGAGTACAGAGTACAGAGTTATTATTGTCATCTTTGTTTTGGACATTATACTTTTATTAATTTAGCCAAAATTTGTAATAGTTGTTATGGCCATTATGTCACATTATGGGCAGTCAACAACTCTAGTTTTTCTGCTCCCTAATGAAGCCAAGTCACATATATTATTGTTAAATCAGATATCTCTCTATATATTTGTGCAGTAAACTATAACCTCAATGCTTATCAAATTTAAACTTATCACATTCATCTCTATGAAATTTAAACTTTTTAGATTTAGCTTGTATTATAGCATATTTAAAGATTCCAAGAAATCTTATTCTGTGAAAGAAGACACAAGCTCTTCTTTTCAACTTTCTCATTCAAAGTATGGCATGTGTTTTTAATCCAAGCCACTGATGAAATTGTTGATTAAGGGAATGCAAAGGATAAAGACCATTGACACACTCTTAAAGACTTCCCTCCAGTTTGACATTGGTCAGTATTCTGAGTATTATGGTTAAGCTAATTATTAATATTAACAATAATCATTAAGCTAATCTACTCATAATATTGTCATCTAGACTGTGCTCCATCTTTTCTACCAAAAAAAAATTAGCCTCAGATTTCAGCAGTCTTCTGACAGTTTTGGTCTGTGACCTTGGGCAAATCACTTCACTTCACTTCACTTTCACTGGCCTGTTTGCCCATAAGTAAAATGAAGGTTCTTGACTAGATGCCATCTGAGGTTCTTTCTAGCTCTCAATGTAAGATCCCAATTTAATAGCCAAACAAAGAAATTAGATTAGATGTTCTCAGGGAGCCCATGTGTGTACCCTTGTGGTCACAAAACAGCACATACAGAGATAAAAGGCAAAGGAGGAGGAGGCAGAAGCCTTAATTCACAGGCACGGTTAAAGCTCCATTTATTCACATTTTCTCTTTCTTCCCCACAGGCCCTTCCGCTGTAGCTTTTTCCCCTTTAAAATTAGGTGTTTTCCTCAGTTTTTTTTTAAACTTTTCTGCTTTCAAGGAAAAAATAAAACCTACTAGAGCTGCCAAGAATGTCAAGGAACTCTCAAGGAGCATGGGATCAGCTGGAGCAAGAAGGAACTACTAGTTGAAGCACACCCTCAGCAATCTCTCACTGTAATGCTGTGGGGGAAACAAAGACAGATTCCATCTTATGCCATTTTCTTTAACTAGCACCATGGCAAGGCTAAAGATACTCCCTTCTTGTGGTAGGGCTCTGCTAGCTGGCTAAGAGTCTAAGGGCCAACACCATCCTACTTGGCTCCTTCTTAACTTTCTTAGCTTTTACTCCACCACCTTTCTGGTATCATTGCCAGCTGGTGCTCCAAGGCCAAAGAAACCCTAAATGCAACCTTCCTTTTTAAAAAACCTTCCAAACTACTTTCTCCACATGAAGACTCCTCTCCATTGTTTTCTTCTTATCAGTGAGCAAAATAAAACGGCGAAAGAATTGCACATAAGAAGAACCTTAGATTTCCATTGAATGGAAGCTCCAAATGGAGTTAAATGAAAGTATTGTTAAGACAGTGTTGTCAAGATTAGCCACCACAGTCTTTAGAAAGAACTGGGAATGAAGCTAGAGAAGGGAGGAGGGAAGAGAGAAGAGTGGAAAACTACTAGAAGAGGTAAGAGGAAAAGCTGGGGCAATAGGTAGAAAAGTGTCTATTGAAATATTTAAAAATATGCTTTTCATAAAGCTGCTTTGTAGGTTGCTAGTGGTCATTGGCCTTACCTGCTGCTGACACACAATAAGGATTATAGACAGGATTGAGGTACCACGGATTTGGGAATGGGGGTTGTGCTGTGGGTTGAGCATAAAAAAAAGGTCTTGCGTTGTTGCCTTCAGAACGTGATCCAGTTCCTGAAGCTGGTGAAGCATTCATTTTCTGGACTAAAACACATTTATGTTATTATAGGGACCAACATTTTGGTGTTTACTACTTTAAGGAGCTGTCTTTTCCTCCAAGACACTCCCCCCCCAACATACCCAATTTCCTCCTGTCTTTCCTTGCTGATCTGTTATCAATAACATCTCCAGTTGGGACCACACATGTTTTCCTCCAATCTCTACATTTTATTTCTACTAGGAGACAATTTAGAGTAAGTATAAGGTCTGTAAATGTGCTCCCCAGGTCACATTAGTAACATCATGATAACTTCACCATTCATTCCCGACTATCTTTCCCTCCCTACTCACATCAGTGGTCTTGTAGTCCTTAATGTGGAGGGAAATGGCACCCAACCTCACAGATCTCTGAAGCTGAATACTACAGGAGCTGGAAGAGGAGCCTTTTACCCTTAGCCCTCCCAATGACTGCCTTAAGGAGCACGTGTGAGGACAATCGGAGGGCACCAAGCTTTGTCTCTTAGTCCAGAGCCCTCGCCCTTCCAACATTTGGCCAAAGCCAGGACCAAGCCTCATTCGGACCCGGTCCGACGGGAAAGAGCAAGCGAAAAATCCAGGATGGTAGGCAGGCAGCCCAGACCCGGACCGATCCTACCCCTAACCCCTCCAATTCCAAATCATGCCTGGGAAGCCCTCAAGAGGCACAGTCGCTGAGACCTCCACTCTAAACTCAATTCTTGTTACCCAGGTGGCTGCAGAGGGCCCCGAAAAGGGGATGAAAGAAGGGCAGTTTTCTCTCGACTTACCTAGCTTGGGAAGGATACTAACTCTACTTACCTAATTTAGTAAATAGATGGAGCTTGACCAACTGGGAGCTGCCAGCCTGGCAAACTCTGGTGGAGAAGCAGCCCTCTGAGAGCAGGAAGCACCTTGTGCGTCCCTGCCGGGGCGAGGTTGAGGCTAGGAGCCCGAGTTCTTCACCACTGGTTGCCTATACTCTCCAGGCCTCTCGCTAGCAGGTGGCCCCGGTCCGGGAGCCCGGGAGATCAAACAGCCCCAGCTCCAGCTGCTCCTTAGACCAGTCCTCTTTTCTAACCAGCCGGTTCCAGCCCCTTTCCTCAACCTCCACCCCGGGCCAAGAGCAGCGGACTGGGAGCGCAGCGCTCACTCCCGCACACCTCCCCCAACCCCTCCCTCTCGCCATTCAAGTGGCCGCGGCCCCTTCTTCTTGAATGAAGCCCGCCGCATTTGTTGCGGGGGCGGGACCTATGGGCCTCAGGTGCCGCTGCCTGGAGAAGCAATCACGGTGAGGGCCATTGGCTTGTGAGCATCTTGAGATCAGGGAGAGAGACGGTTTCACTTTTTGTTCTGCTCTTCGCACTGTCTGGCACAATGCTGAGCACATAGTAGTGGGGTGGGCGTGGGGGAGTTAATAAATGTTCGTGAAGTCGAACTCGAGTGTTTTAGGGGCATTCGCGTATGTGTTCTGGGGTAATAAACAAAGGAAGATGAGTACCTTGAGGTTGACTGGTCTCAGCTGTGGAGCGTCTAGGCAGAGTCTCCTGACGTCCTGAGTGAAGCAATGACTGGATATCTGGGTTGAATAGAGAATAAAGAATTCTCCAGGAGGTGGGGCAGAGTTTGCCTTCTAGCATCACTGCGTCGGCAGGGTGGAAGAGACTTTGGCCTCCTTCAGCCAAACCTTTACTCTGCTCAGGCATTTTCTCTACATTACCCCTGATAACCTTTGCTCGAGCTCCTTCAGAGCTGAGGAACTCCCTACACAGGAGATATGTACACAGGAGGCACACACACACACACACACACACAAACATACTCATGCACACATTTTATTTCTGGACAGCTGCAATTATTAGAAAGCTCTTTCTTTGAGGACAAAAAAAAACCTTTCTGTCTGAAGTTTCTACTCAGTCTTTCTTCTACAAATATACAGAATAAATATAATCTCACTTCTAGATCACATCATCAAGGACTAGTTGAAAGAATTAATTTCAAAGCCAGAAAGACCTGGTTTCAAGTCATACAGATGACACATACAGCTGTGTGATTCAGATTCTTAAGACAAAAGCCCTTCACCTTGAACTTGAAGGTTCTTATTAGTTGTCTTTCTTTCTTTTTGAAATCATAGTTAAGTGGCTTGCCCAGGGTTACACAGCTAGTAAGAGTCTAAGGCCATATTTGAACTCAGTTCCTCCTGACTTCAGGGCCAGTGCTTCTTATTAGTTTTCCACTCTTTTCTCCTCTCCCTTCTCTAGCTTCCTTCCCAGTTCTTTCCATTGTACCTCATGTGACACTGGGGGGTCATAGGAACTCAGAGACCATCTAGTCGACTCTAATGCATGTTCCTTTGTCCCCTTCTTCTAAGCTTCAGACCCTCAAAAAGAATATGGTATTCTAAACACTCTGGAAAGAAACACAATACTCCAGACTTTTGTCTAAGATAAGCTTTTCTGGTAGCTTGTGGCTAATGATATTTCCTGTGTGTTTTTTTTTTTTACAGGGACTATTCAGGATCACAGATATAGAGCTAGAAGGAAACATAAACCATTTAGTTCAACACCCTCATTTTACTGAGGATAAAACAGAGGTCCAGAGAAATTTAATGATGTGTCCAAGATCACATAGAAATAATATTTAAACCTCAGTCCTCTAACTTCAAAGACAGTTCTCTTTCCAAGAAGAGAGGGAGAAGGAAAAATCAACCAGAACACTGACTGGTGATCTAAGAAGAGGAAACTGGCTTAAGGGAAAATATCCTGAGTTCAGTTTCAGATGTTGGGAAAACTATGTTCCACACATAGCATCAGGGTGTCATTGTGTAGCTCAAAGGGAGACAATAGATATCTCTAGCCTCTTCTCTCTCCACCCTTCTCCAAGGAAGATTTTAGTTTCTGCCAGGAAGGGAAATAGGAAGTTAGGGCAAACAGAAGCTTGGCCATCTTCCCTCTCCTCAGAGAGATGGGGTACTATGCTAGACTTATATTTATATGCTTCCTTAAATATTATTATTATTATTATTATTAGTCTAGAGGAGTTGTGGGGGTTTGGTTGCTGTTCAATATAGCTTCTGATCATTGTTTCACTATTGGGGGAAGCACAGGAGGACCATAAGTTATATATCCAAGGCAAATACCAATCCCACAATGAACACAGATAGTAATTATAAAAGAAATCCATTTATCCAATTCAACAACAAAACAGAAATCAGAGAAAGTATGCATAGAATATATATCAGACAATACAGAGTGAAGGAGCTTTCCCAATTGGAGTGAGGTAACATCTCAACCAAGACAGAGCAAGTCTCATCCAAGGAGATATTCCAAAGTCTCTTGTATGGTAATCTGGGGGTAGGAACATGAAAGAGGCTGCCGGTTTCTTCTCATGTCAGCTTCTTTTCAGAGTCTTTTCCTTCAGCAACCTGAAAGGAGGTTGGCATCTCCCATCTTCTCTCTTGAAGCTGGAAGCCAGAAACACCCAAAGTGACTGCAGAACTCAGAGAGACTCCAAGAGAGTTTGAAGAGGCAAAAAGACTTGGAGTGATCCTTGAGCACAGAGGAGTGAATCTCTACTCTCTCCTGCCTGCCCCTCATACAGAACAAAATGTTATCTCCATCAATGAGGAGGGAGTCCTATGCCAAAATGCTTTGGGACTGGAGTTACATAGACATTTATTTTGAGGTATTGTTGAAATATCTAGGTGGAGATGGCCTGTAGGCAGTTAGAGATATAGGATTTCAAGTGGAGAAAAGAGGTCAGGACTGGTGAAAGACTTGTTTAGTAGAGCAAAATGCCATTTTAAAGACTCTCCCATAACAAAGTCTCTTTGATTTGTCAAAATTCTAGAAAATTTCTTCCCTGGCGATGACAGTGAAGTTGATCAGGATGCCCTAGATCAATTGATTTCTCATCTGCCAAATTGATGAAATCACAGGAAGTAATGGGAAGGTAACAGAGACTCTAAGTTAGCCCTTTACAAGTTTTGAAAGAAGATGCTTCATCAAAACCAGTGGAATTAAAGGGTAGCTAACTAATGACTAGCCAAGGATCAGCCACATCTCTGGTGGAACGTGTATCTAGGAGTGTGATGGGAAAAGGGGCTTGTGTAATTTCCACATTCAAAGATAAAACCTGAGCAAATATTTTGGACCCTGAGTGTGGGAGAGCAGTACTGCCCAGGCTATGGTACAGTCAGCCCTAGACAGGAAGCAGTTAAAAGCCTTTCAGGAGAATGGCGCTTCAGCTGGTATCATTTTAGTTCATCTCACATGACATATTCTCCCCTTTCCCACATCCCCCACCTGATATCACTCCCTCCGTCTCCCTCCTGATGCCTTAGGGATACTACAATGACCTTGTTGTTAAAAAACATCCTTAATTTACCCCAGGGTCAGGATTGGACACTGATGTCCCAGGACTGTTATTTCCTATGAATGTTGTTGGGAAGGAGCGATGAAGATGCTCAAATATATTTTTCACTTCCCTTTTTTTTACTTGGGCATAAAGAACCTGGTACACAGACTCCAGACAGAGATGGCCCCTGGAGCACAAATGGAGAGTGAAACTGGGCCCTTGCTCATTCCAAACAGAGAAGAAACTGATTAGACTCTCTAAGCATCTTATAAATGCTCCATTAATTCCTCTAACCTTGCTGTTGTCCTGCATGAGGGCCTGACTCATATATTGTTTCCTCAGGTGTCAGGGGCAGGCAAAGCCTGGATATCTCTGAAGGTGGAGATTTCATTGGCAGGAGTCACATCCCTTTTGGATGGGACTAAAGAATGTGTTACTACTCTAGGCCTGCCTGGATTTCACTGCCCAACAGATCCAGGCCTTTGATATTTATTCAGCAAACAACATCCCTTATACCTTCTCTGCTTTTCTTGGGACATTTCCCTCAGATTTCTCTGTCAGATCCCAAGAAAAAGCTACTCC